TCTGTATCTGAATAGTTTTATGGTCTTGATCTTGTGAACATCCAATTTGAAGATTTCCATCCTTTCTTGCAGGATTGGATATTGCCCCAAGGGATCTTGCTTTGCTTTGCCAAAAGGCCTGCTACTTTAATGTTTCATTTCTCCTTGTTTACCTACACATCCAAAATTTCTATTGCAATTGTCAGCATAACAATATTCCATCTCACAATAGGTGGAAAATCATGTTGTGGGTGCTCCTTGTGGAGTGATGGATCAAATGGCTTCTGCATGTGGTGAATCAAACAAACTTCTTGCAATGGTGTGTCAGGTAAAAATCATCTGCAATACAAAAGATATTACAGTAACAAATGTGATAGTGCAATACTGAAATGCTAACTACGTATCCCACTAGCCTGCTGAGGTACTAGGACTCGTGGACATCCCACCTCATATACGATTTTGGGGTATTGATTCTGGTATACGACACAGGTACGATTCTTTTTCACTGTATGATTTATTTTTCTTTTATTGTCAAAAAAATTTCTAAATCTTTATTTTTCTGTTTTTCGCCAACGATATTATTGGATAAAACTGGGCAGTACTGAGGAAAAGAAAGAAGCTATGATCTTGTTCTATATATTGTTCAGTCCTATAGAGAGTAATAAAAAGTAATAGAGCTAAAACAAAAAAATGCAATAGCAGTCGAGAAAATCAAAAGGGTCAAATGCTGTCTGCACCTTCACCTCAGGGATGGGTACCCATTGTTGAGATTTTGATATTGGTTTTGCCCAATTTATTTGCAGCTTCAATTAACAGTATTGATATGCTCATTTGGTTTACACTATTAGACATGACTGGACTGGACAACTTCTTTTTCTTAATACTGCTATGCAATCATCCCTACGAAACATTCCTCTAAGAGATTAGAAGATATGCACCTTGCTTGTAGGGAAAATTTCATCTTTATTTATTATTATTATTATTTTTCTTTTATTTTTTTTATTATTATTTTTTTGGGCATTCTTCCTCTTCTCAAGATGTATGGTCAAATCTAAGTGTACCACTAGCTGAAAGTACAAAGCATTGTTTTTAAAAATCATCTTCAACAATGGTATGAAAACTAGCTTTTTTGAGTTGTGACTTTCTCTTTCAATCTCTAGCCCCGCACACTAGAGTGGCTTGGTGATTGTTTTTGAATCAACAATGCACACTTTGGCACTGCAATCTACCTCGTTATAATTTGCTGGAGCATACTGCAGTGTTGGCGGTGCAGATTATGGATCCGTGAGAATAGGTGCCTTCATGGGTAGGAAGATAATAAAGTCCATGGCATCTGAGTGTTTGAAATCCTTATTATCAAACAACACCACTTCACAGCCAGTCAATGGGGTGAACTCCTGTGAAATGGAGGGTAATGGCATGAATTTGCTCGAAAATGAGGCTTCATTGGATTATTTGTGCAATCTGTCACCTCACCGGTAATATTTAATTTCTATGCTTTTGTACTTTGATTTCATTCTCATTTTAAACATATTAATATAGGAGACTTTATCCAATTTCAGATACGAGGCATCTTATGTGAATAGGCTTCCGGAGATTCTACACGGCAATGATTTTGCGGCAAATTATGTTCATCATGATGATTCAGTAACAGTAATTGATAAAAAGCACAATTATGCAGTAAGAGCGCCTACCAGACATCCCATTTATGAGAACTTCCGAGTCAAGGTCAGTCATATAATGGATATTTCTCATGCTGTCTGATTTAAATCTCTTGAGCGTAAATAGGGAATTGTGATTGTAAGCTATTTCTGTGGTTGATGGTAATTGATTTCTCTATTTATTATTCTTCCCTATGTAAAAATTATTGATCATACATTTCACTACAAACATATTATATAATAACTGAAAAGAACATTTTACAAACTCATTTCTGAGAGATTGCAACAAGTGTCACGGCTAGAAAATTACACTCTTATGACTTTGAACATATTAATAAATTTTCTTATATCAAATTAAGAGGACAATCAGTCAGCTGCCAATCAAATCAATAAGTTGTGTTTTAAGGAAGCTGGTGTCTTGTTTATGTATTTTAGGATGTTACACTCACATATGATGACCGTTGTCATGTCCACGTGGTCATTTGCTGAAACAAAATTCACAGTTGAATATGGCTTCAGTAAAAATAGATTCCTTGTTTTTTTTCTTTTTATTTCTGGTTCAAGATTCAAGAATTTTGAGAGAGCAGAACGAATTTGAGACACATCAAGTGCTGTCATTTGCATTGAATATTAGACGTGAAATTTTGTAAATGAGCAAAGCTGCCATGGTTTCTAAAGCATAGACGAAGTACAGCTTCTAACAAGAGAGACAGATGGAATTATTTAGAGGACCATGTAAAAAATTTGATGTTGTACATTCTGGTGTTTAACTCGTGAATGGGGTTGAGTTGTCGAAATGGTGATATGCTAGAAGTTATCTTCCTATTTACGTGTTCATCATTTTTTTTGCAAGGCCCCTGGTGTATACTTGTACTGTCTGTTTTCCATTATATTTCAATGAAGGTACAACCTGAGAAGGCTCTTTTATTTTGGATTGAATATTGTCGAATTTTCCTGCGACTATCTGTTGGTTGCTACCTAGGCTTTCAAGGGATTATTGTCTGCGGCTTCTTCGGACGATCAACTTTCTGCTTTAGGAGAACTTATGTATCAGGTATCTGACCTGTCATCTTTTCAATGCTTTCTTTGCAAGCACACACATGGGACCTTAGGAAATGGATTTAGTAATCCATTAAAAGGGAATTATTTTATTTCTTCATTTCAATGTCACGAAGCAAAATTTTGTTAGCGAATGAAGAATTATTTTAAGGATCCAGATGCCTCTAATGCCATTGCCCCTTTTATGATTGCTCTATTTGTTTGCATCATCTGTCATAAAACGAACTGGCAAATATTTCCTTGTTCTTTTCCAGTTTAAACATTATTAGGAATGCATGAAACATGAAAAAATAACGGAAATTTGTAAGTTTGTGGACTCATGGATCTAATCCAATCTGATTCTCACCAACATGTTTTATTGTTTTATATTTCAGTGTCATTACAGCTACAGTGCTTGTGGACTTGGGTCACACGGGACAGATAAGCTGGTAGAACTGGTACAGGAAATCCAGCACGGGAAACTCTCAAAGTTCGAAAATGGAACTTTATACGGGGCAAAGATTACTGGTGGAGGTTCTGGCGGAACAGTTTGTGTTATCGGCAGGAATCGTTTAAGAAGCAGCGAACAAATTCTCAAGGTAGACTTCAAAATCCATCAGAAACGGAACAGAGCATTTCATTTCATTGCACAAGTGATATAACAGATAGCCATTAATAAATTAGAGATAGTTTTCATGGTTCATTTCTAGCTTGGAAGATTTTCTGACAGTGAAAGTTGGACATTGCAGATTCAGCAGAAGTACAAAGCTGCCACTGGTTTTTTGCCATTTGTGTTCGAAGGTTCTTCGCCCGGTGCTGGAAAGTTTGGCTATCTGAAAATACGCCTCTGGTCAGGCTCACAGCTTAAATAATTTCCAAAAATAAAGGTGACTTTTAAGACGAGAGAGAGGCATAAAAAATATAGTAACCTTTTGCAACAAATAGACATTAGAAGTCCAATTATTGGTTTTTCATTCTCATTGGAGAGAGGAAATACATTTCATCTTCATGTCCCTAATAATGTGTTTGGGTCATGGAATAAATAAATTTGTATCTAATCATCAAGATGAACTAATTGAACATCATTTTAAGACTCATCGCCACTTACTAATGGATACTAAAAATCGCAATGTACCCAATTGAAGTATAGGATGAGGGGGAGAAGGGGCGGTATTTATAAAAAGGAGTGTGCTATGTGTACATAAAAAATTGTACATAATGGTGTCTCCACTCACATGGATGGAGCGCACCTGAATATAAATATGCAAGTGGTTCCCACCCATGTGAGTTAAGGGACATCATTATGTACATTTTTTTATGTAAAACAAAATTATTTTTATAAAAATATTTAAAATTTGATGCGACCAACGATATATTTTTTTTCAGTATTATTAGATTTTTTTTTTGGATGCTTCGAATTTATATAATTCATAATTAACCTTTTTTAATAATACACTTCAAATTATCTCAATTAATTTAATAGATCTTTAACAGTTTTTTCCTATTTTTAGGGATATAACATGATATTTCCTTAATTTAGATTATCTCTCTTAAATTACTTCTAGAAATTTTATTATTAGTATTAGGGTTAATTTATTATCTAGTTGAAGCATTATCAGATTAATTATGTAATATGCATGATTATTTTAAACTTTGTCATATATCATATGCCATTATTCAATTTGTTACAGCTACTTATTATGTAGTTCGATTTCTAAAGATAGGATAAAAGAAAATTCACTAATTGTGAAAAAACCATATATAATTAGACATTTTTTTAGTTTTTATTTTTTATGTAAAAACTCTTAAGTGGTTTTTTACGTTTTTTGTGTTTAGTTGATTACTTATTCCAAAATCCTATTTTTCTTTCTTAACTGTAATTCATTTTAACGTTTCAACAATACATTCATACACCAAAATATTTTACACGTAAATTCGAAATTTTTTCTTATTTTTTAATAATATATTTTTCAAAAATTCATTATTAAAAAAAAAATTGTGAAATAATGATCATCAAACAGGGTCTAAAAAATTGGGAAGTGCTACATGTACATAATTGTAAAAAAGTTGGGTTATTTATCTAAAGGCCACAGCTCTTTAAATGGGCTCAAATTACCAAGCCACTTTGACCCATATTTAAATGTGATCAGTTCACGGTTGGGCCAGTTATGGGCCGTACTCTCAGGCCCAGATCTTTTACCTGTTGACAGCATCGTTATTTGTGTACATTTTTTAACATTAAGTCCCTGTTTGGTTTTTGTATTTTTAAATTCATTTTTAACCATACGGATTCACAATTTTTATCAGTTTTTCAATTACACATTTAATCAATTTTATAAAATCTATAAAAAAAAATGTAATTTTTAGCTAAACCAAATTGGAGTTAATCTTGATATAATTTGAAAAAGCAAACAAGAGGTCCAAGGCAATAAAAAAATATAAAAACTACTGGTGGAGCAATGAAAATGCATAGAGATTGGAAAGAACACCATCTGCGAAAGCACTTTGCTGCGCTGACACTCCATTGAAGAAAGAGAAAAATGAAATCTATCAGAACCAGATAGATAAATGATCAAATTGTCAGTTTTTTTTCAAGGGGTAAAGTCATGTATATAAAAATATACAATTTGAAAATATTGGAAAATGCACTATAGCTGAAAAAATTAATGTACACGTCAAAAGTCACATTCTTTGTTACTCATAATGAATTTGGTTGGGAACGTCGATGAGATTGACAAATATGAACTTTTTCATTTCGTTATGGGCACCATTTGTTCTATCAAACAATCATGTCAAACATGGATTCCAATTCCTACTATCTTTTCGAAAAACCAGATTTTATTTTTTATTTTCATGTCCAAGAGAAGTAGGTTTTTAGGAAAATCACATACTATATAACGTAGTCTCAATGACAAATACGTTTCACATAAAAGGTAACAAATTATGTTCAAATTCCACAATGGTCATTAGCTATAGTGAACATTCTGATTCCTTAGATTAGGATATTTTCCCACACTTTTACAACTATTTTGAAGTTGACCTAATTGTGACATCCACATGATCAATCCAAGAGCATTGAATTGGTCCAAATCTGTTATAATCTTGCATTTATTTCATGTTGTTTTCCAAATGTTTGGATCATGCATTCTCATCGGCTAAATCAATGACCACATGGTTCAAAAACAAAATAAGTTATTCAAAGTTCGGTATGAAATTACATAAGAAAGTTCTTTTGAGATCATAGTTCTATTTGAACAAGTTAAGCCGTTTTAAAGTTTGTCAAATTAAATTTCTTGAATTACGTATCAAATAATCTATTGACTGGTTAAAAATAATTAAAACTCAATTAAAAGCAAGCTAAAATATTAAGGACACGTTCTTACCAATATTAGACAAATACTTCATATGTGTCGAGGCTTAAGACCGGCCACCAATGTTTAGGCACCTACTAATTGGCATTAGCACCCAAAGTTTGTGTTGCTAGTGAAAATGACGTACTTGTCCTTTTCATATGTAAAACTTGAAGAATGACCTTTAACCTCTCAAAATAGGTTAATTGTACTCAAAGTGAACCAACTTTTACCTCAATTGTAATTAGGTCATTGAACTTCAATTTAGCTTAAGTCAACTTCAATTCAATTGCAATCGGGTCATTTAGCTTAATATTGACACACATTTATTTAAGCAGTGTTTTTCCAAGAATTCTTCATCGTTTAATTTGATTCCCTATGATTATTTAGAATATTAGATTGAAAACTTAGAAAAGCTTAACCATTAACATTTTTTTAATAAGCATTTTTAGTAACGGTTTTCATCAGTTGCATTTTTAGTAACGGTTTTAATTCCCTATGATTATTTAGAATATTAGATTGAAAACTTAGAAAAGTTTAACCATTAACATTTTTTTAATAAGCATTTTTAGTAACGGTTTTCATCAGTTGCATTTTTTTTATGTGACTACTAAGTCTATGTGGATGGCCATGTCTTTAGACGTCAATTTTAATGGCCAATTAACGATGTTCTGCAACATAGGTTGATGAAGCACAAATCTAAAAATTTACACATTTAAATTGAAGTGAATTGATTTCCACCTAATTGTATTGAGGTAAACTTGGGTGATATGCAATACAAATAACCCCTCAAAGGCCCTAAGCTGTAGGGCACCTTGCATTGCCAGTGAAATGACATAATTGTTCTTTTTACACATAAAAACTAATGGATGATCTTTAACCTTGCACAAACCCTAAATTGTAGGGTGCCCTACCTTAGAAATTAAGGAGCAGTCTTAAATAAGTGAAATTATTGCATTACTGGTAGGGTTTCTTTAGCTGGCTTTGTGGGATCCCATCATTTTGGGTTGACAATATGTTTTAAATTTAATGAAATTTGGCATATTATTATCCCCAAACAAATTGGCAAAATGACAATCAGAAAATCACATATCCCTCCATTGATTGCTCCTTTTTCTTTTTCTTTTTGTGGTGTTCTTTCTTCCATTCGTGTCATGCAAGAAGAGAGGTGTGCGGGTGTGGAATATAGAGGAACCCACTAAACAAAATGACAAAATCTTTTTATTATTGGAGGCCTCAATCAAATAGTTTGGCATTGATCCATGTTATACGAGAATGGCGAGTGATTAGGTATTTTCTTAGCTTTGTTAAGTGCATGATAAGGACAAATTCAAAGCCATCTTGGGACATAAGCACTATTTCTCATCATCTGTCACAATAGGCCCACTTTGTTCTCCCAAGGTGTCAAGCAATACTTGCTTGTAGAATCACAATATTTAAAAGTGTAACATAGTGGGGAGGGAATATACGTATTTATTTAATTTCAATATTATGCGATCTCTTTCGAGTGTACATTGAATCCTTTTTTATCGAAGTCTTGGTATGTACACAAATTTTATAAATAAATAACGGAAAAATTTGTCGATACTGACACCATGTGGAAATGCTTATTTTAAAAATTTATGTTGCTAGCAGGTGAATATATTTATTTAGTTAAATTTATCTTTAACATGTCACTTCACGTGCGTGTTGAATTTATTTTTCTTATCAAAAATTTGATGCATTGACAATTTTATCTACTCAAATACGATGTAGAAACACATAATTAAAAGCATAACCTAATTGAGAGTAGTCATATTTATTTATAGAAATCTAATCTTCAATCTTATCTTTAGTTTGACAAAAAATAGGTGAGCCAAGAAATGAAGAATGAAAATAGATTGTTGTGGTATGTGATTGGACACTTTACCTTACAACTTCAAGATGATGTCTATCTAGTACGCTTTAGCGCATTACTATCTAGCGGAAAGGCCATCTTTATTTTAATAAATTCATGGCAAATTATTCTCCACGTCGTCCTACACAGTAATATTTTATAAAAGTGAGTAAACAATTTCTCTCTTTTACTATTACACGCGCTTAGATAAGGTATAGAACAATTCAAATTTTACAATCACACGCATTCACAAAAATCGCATGAGTTAGGTATTTAATGAAAAATATAGCTTGTAAAATTTACATATAAACAGAAAAAATCTCCGTTTATCAACTACGACTTTTAAACAACGTAGTCGAACGCAAATGACATCACAAATCAAGTGAAAATAAGAGAAACAAAAAAATCACATAAATGAAATTTTCATCGCTTGTAATGTGCATGGAAATGGTATAACTTTATGTTCATGCATGTCATTTCATGGTATCACAAGGAAATTAAAAGAATGTGCTTTTCACAAAGTCTTCAACTTTATTTATTTATTTATTTTATGCTTTTAACTTTGAGCAATGAAATCAATTATAATCAATCAATCAAGGCCAAAATCTCCATGGCCCCTCCAGAGATTGTGATGTCGGCCAAATATTTGGACACTAATGAACGATATAATGCACTGTTATGGCCGACCGATATTGAAATTCTTGATCCAACTTATATACGACTCACACATTTTCTTTATGTTCTCTTTATTTTCTCAAATTTAATTTTAACCACACATTTTTTCGATAAAATAAATTTTCAATTACTCTTTAAAAATACATTCTCCAAAAAAATCAGTTTTCACAAGTTTCATCGATTTTGATAATGGTTA